AGGGAGAGAGCAAATGTAATTCAAATATTAATATTGGAAGAATTTGGTAATGGGATCTGGTTAACTCTTTGTACTGTTCTTGCCAAAATCACATCTTTGGTTTTCTTTTTCCTTCCAGTACCAGGGGTCGAACTCAGGACCTTGTTCTTGGGAGGCAGGCATGGCACCGCTGAGCTACATCCCAGCCCTTTTTATTTTGAAGCAGAGCCTTGCTAAGCCACTGAATTTCCCAGGCTGGGATCCAGCTAATGATGCTCCTGTCTCAGTCTCCCAGGGGGCTGGGATTGCAGGTGTGCACCACCACGCCCGGCTAAAATACATCAAACATTTTTTTAAATTTAAAAATCTGGGCTGCCTTAACAGATTACCAAAAATCTGGACAGTGTAAGCCATCACCCACTTCCTCAAGGTGTGGCCAGCCCATCTTCCCACTGAAGGTTCTGGGGGCGACTCCAGCCGGCCGTCCAGTCCAGCCTCAGGAGGCCCTTCCTCCGCAGACATCCAAATCCCTCTTCTCAGGAGGACACCACTCAATGGATCCATGGATCGCACACGCTGGATTAACCCCCACCCCACCCAGCAGGACTGGTCTCGCTAGATGATACGCGCGAAGGTGCAGTTTCCAAATAAAGCCCCCTCCCCAGGGGCCAGGGGCTAATGAAAGCCACTAGCACCGGGAGGCTGGGAGGACAGTCCCTGGGAGTTCCTTCCGTTCTTGCTACTTTTAGCACGCAACATAATGGTAACAGTAATAACGGTGATGATTCAGAGAGCAGGGGTGCAGCTCACAGGTAGAGTGCCCACCTAGCAGGCTCGGGAACTGGGTCCAGTCCCCAGCATGGAAAGAATAATTCAGAGCAGTCAAAGCCCCCGCTGGACCCCCGACCGCGTCACTCCATTGAAACCCAGGCCCTGGCCCTGGCTCATCTCCGTCCCTTCCCGCTTGCTTCCAGCCTCGCTGACCTTGGGCTGCTCTAACCTCGGGCTTCCCACCCAGCGCCTGCCCAGGCAGTGTCCAGCCCAGACCTCCCTCCCCAGAGCCGGAGGGGTCACCTGCTGGGGGGCTGTCCCGGCACTGTGCGCTGGAGTGGCCGTTCCGTTAGAAACCCGCTGGGCACCTCCCCACACCCCACCCGCCATTCCTCGAAGTCCCGGGAGTGACCGAGGGTCTGCACTGCCTGTCAGCCGGGAGGTGGTGAAGCAAGCTACGCCTCTGAGTGCAGCGCTCAGGGCTAGGGACACCGGGCCCCCAGAGCACTGTCACCAGCCACCACCTCCCTGTCCTGAAGGAACCAGAAAACAGTCCCCCCCCCCAGTCTTCCTCTCCCCCCTCCCTCCACCCCTCCTCCTGCTCTCTTCCCCTTGACCACCCTTCTTGTTGTTTTTTATGACAGGGTCTTGCTGTGCAGCCCAGGCTGGCGATCCTCCTGCCTCAGCCTCAGGACTGCTGGGGTTGCAGGCTTGCGCCACCAGCCCGCTCTTAAATCCCAGGCAAGAGCAGCGAGCACTCAGGTGGCCCAAGTCCGGCAAGGCCACTGAGCGTCCACGCCAGGTGGGATGGGGAGCGGGGGTCTAGACTGGGATTCCGGGGGAGTGAGGGGAAGGGCCGGGGTCCGGGCGGGGCCAGCCGGGAGCCCAGTGAGCAGGGGCTGGATAGGGGTGAGAAGGGGCGGAGTGGGGCGGGGG